CTCTTGTGCAGCCATCTGTCTTTTAGCAGCATATCTTGAAATAGTCTGTTATTTTCCTCTTCACCCTAATAGGAAATGGCATATAAGGAGCCTGTGTGAGTTGCTCTCGGATTTGAGAAGGTGCACATATAAGGGGTTTTCTTTGGGTGTGTTCATGTCTGTGTGTTCACCAAATCTGTGTTAACTGCTTTGAAAATGGTGATAAAGATAGCAACTGAAGGGGATGGTACTTAGAGTGTTAAGGGTTAAACTGTAGCAAATTATTTTGATCTATATGTAGGTCTGTAGCTTTTCTTTCTGTGTTAGAAGGTAGAATTGTCTTGAGGTGAATCTTCATTTGAACAGTGAAAAATACACCTGTGTTTTGTGAGCAGTGCTGTGTTCTTGCAGACACTTGCTAGGAAATGTGCTGTTTTGTTCGTGTTTGAACCGCTCTTGGTAGCAGTGTCCTAGATCAGAAGAATAGCCATGAGATTATGCATGCTGTACATTTCTGTTGCACCACTAACGGCATTTGATTTTTATGAAAAGTCTTAGTTTTTAGCTGGGTGGCAAAACTGAAGTAGTGTAGTCACAAGGTACCGTTATGCTTTTTGTATTCTTAAATGTTTTATTCCCCAGACGGTGGGTTTGTTCTTTTTCTGGGGATAGAGGGGTGCTTGTTTCTGAGTACTACAGCATTGCTTCTATAAGCTACTTACCCGTTTCTTTGTATTCTGTGATAGTTACTTGGAAAGGAGAGAGCAGTGTTAGGTACTTTCCATAATATCTTATTTTTGGACCAAGAATAGAATCTGTGTGCTCCAGCAGTAGGAAAGCTTGCATGGTTTTGCAGACTCAGGATTTTTCTAGAGGGTTTGCAGCAACTTGCCTGAAGGTGCAAAGGTGTATAATTTTTCTGGAAGAAAAGGGAAATACGTTATCATAACTTTGATAAAGGCTGATGGTTCTTCTGCAATTGTAAGAAATTTCTAAGAATTTAGAAAATGTTCATAATCTGTGTTTTAAAAGGTGAAAACATTTCTAACAGCTGGATACACAGCTTAGTTTAGCAAACTCAAGTCATCTGATGCTTGATGTAAAAATGTTTTGATAAAGTTGTTTCTGTTGAGTGTTTGGGGTTTGTTTTGTGTGTGTTTGGGGTTTGCTTTTTTGTTTTGTTTTTGTTCTGGTTTATTTCAGTTAAAAATGCCTTTTCACTCATTATTTAAATAACTCATTTGATAATTCTGTTGTACGAAGTCTACCTTGTTCTGATAACATTTGAGAATTATGCTGTGTTTGAATAAAGCAGGAGAAAGAAACACTGAATTATGCTTCTCATTCTCATTTATGAATCTAGAAACTCTTCAAATGAGAGATATGTTTGAGAGATGTTTTTAGTTATAAATGATGTTTTAGGCTGAGGTTTTTTTAACTGCCCATTGTTACAATTTTTCTGCACTTACCTGTAACTTTAAAAATAACTATTTTGTTATTTTCAGGAGCACTGTATAAACATTTGGGGAAGAAACATCTCTTTTGGAAAGCATGAAAATGGAATTGTATTTTTAGGAAGTGTCTGAAACTTTAAAACAGTCATGTTGTATTTCAGACTTGTCTGTATTTACATTTGAGAGTTGAATTTTCTTTCTTTCTAGGTTTGCAATAAAGCTACTTTCAAGTAAGACCTCTGGAAGAGGTCTTAGTAAAGGATGCCCTGGTTTTGAATGCTAGGTTTCCTAATCTTTTTAACCTGCTTCCTGTGCCTTTTTGCTTTCCTGGTACGTGTGGTGACACCTATTTCATTCCACTTCATTGACCTTGCAACTATTAATTTGGCATTGTCCATACAAAGAGTGTTTTAGAAAGCGGTGCTATCTCTCCTCCTTGGCTTGCCAGTGTGAGCTCTGTTACTCTCTCGGTGAGCTCTGTTACTGTCTTGGCTTTTGTAGCTGTTTTGGGATCAGTGGACAAATTCATTTTTTTTGGCTGGGGGTAGCTGTGGGGGAAACTGATCCACTTGTGTGTGCGTGTGTTTTGTAAAGAATTTTTTTTGTTTTTTTTTTTAATCACCTATATTTATTGCCAGACCCTATCAGTCTGCTGGCTCTGCAAGATCAAGTGCTTCAACCACAGGATGTTTCCAAAACTGATGTCTGATATTGTGAGCTTCTGAAGTTAAGGCATAAACAGTAATTACTGCAGGGAGGGACTGCTAAAGGAGGAGTTTAGATACAGGAAATGTATATTGCTTGTCTTTTGGATCATTTATAAAACTGCAGGTTGTACTGCATGTGTTCTTTAAAGATCCTAGGGCTTTCCACATGCAAATACAAGTAGTGACTGGCCAAAATCCAGACTGGGCAATGATCTCTTTACCTAACCTTCCCCCATAGCTTTAGTTGGATATGGTGGCTCTCAGTTCATATCATGAGCAGTTGAACAGAATGGCTGTGTGCAGTTAAACAGTTGATACATCTCACCCCAGCAGTGGCTTAATTTTGGTGGTTTTAATGATTTGTGTATGTATAAATCAGGCTGCAAAGTGCTCTGGAGCCCTTCTGGATGGCAGGTGTATATAAGCATAAAGCCATCATTAGCAGAAGCAGGTGTTTTGGCCTGGCAGGGAACTAGCAGGGCTTTGTAGAATTGTGGGGTTGTTTTCTTCTGTCAGCATGCTTTAAATTTCTGTTTTTGTTTCCAAGATTAAAAACACGAATGGAGAAATGAAATTAAACATTGGTGCCTGGCCGAGAGCTCTTGGCAGTTCTGTAAGTCAGTCACTTAAAGGAAGCTCGACTTCCAGTAGCGCAGATGTTTGTGCATCGGCCAGAGTCATCTCTGTGGCATGTCTAACCTCAACCAGGCAGAAATAGAAGAATTAATGAATGAACTTATTTTTTTTCCCTTTTTTTCTCACTGGCAGTGCTCGGTGCTGTTACTGTAGTCACATTGAGGTGATAGATTCTTGTGTGAAGACAGAAACATTAGTTAAAATACTATCCACTCTGCATAACTGCATGGCTGAAGAGTTCAACACACATGTAGAAAATGTGAAGAAACTCAGATTTGGTGTATTGTGTGTAGTCTCTGGTTGTGTTACATTGAAGGTTTGTTAAGTGGGAAAGGAGGGGGGAAATGGGTTGATGCAGAGGTGCTATAATTATGATTGAATATGAGGGGAGAAGGAGAAAATGATCTGACCAAGTTGCTGCTTGCTGAGTCCTGAGATTATAGGTTTTCTGGATGTATGTTATGAGTATTTGATTGTGTATGGTGGAACTTTTTGGATAAAAGAGGTATGCCTGAGTGTATTTTGTTTGCTTTACTGATCCATTTTAAAGATCTCATTGTATTTCTTGCATCTTTCTGCTCTGGTCCCTGGTTATAAAGGTCCTTCTATTGTCTTCAGCCTTCATCCTGTTTTTTCTTTTTTTTTTCTTCAAAGTCTCTCTGCAAGGCTAACAAAGAGAGGGATTGTGCGTTTTGATACTCTGTCATCTCTGTCTTCCCTAGTATGTCCGGTTTTCTTACTAGGGCATAAACTTGTATGGAAAAAGGAGTCTTTTGGAGGCAGGGAAGGAGGGGGAGGGAAAATGTATACTGACATTTAGAAAAGGAAATAGAAATCTCAATTTCTCACTCTGAGAACTCTGAAACAATTATAAGCAGCGGGAGAGACCCATGTATTCATACATTAATATTTAGCAGCAAATGTGAAGCTACTTCTTGCTTTTGTTTTTAAATTGTGTATAAATGCTGCACAGTAATTTTAACCGTGCAAACCAGTGTCAGTTTGTGTGGACTTCAGGTCACTATTTGACTGGTTGAGAGTCGGGCTTCCAAGCTGATTGAAATTAGTAGAGGTCCTTAAATAAGAAATTACACAAAAGATACTTATTCCACTTACGAAGACATTACTTTTGTTGTCGAAGAATTATTTCTGTGTTGAAATGGAGTGACACAGACATCCTCATAAATAACCGTTAGTCCATTGTGATTTGTCTTCTTATGGCTTCATTGCGTAAAATTAATGCAGGATCTGTACATAAAATAGAACCCAGGAATTAAATGCTGATTGTTGCCCTTTTAATTTACTCTAGCAGAATAGCATAGACAGTGAACTTCAGCTTTGCTATTTTGAGGTTCATACTTTCAGTATTCTGTTAGTATGAATCAAAACAGGATCTTACGAGGTATGACCAATAGTTAACTCTTTTAAGCCAGTAGGTGTCTTGTGTTGCTGTGTTTCTTCACCTCTCCTTTCTTTTCCGTTATCACCATGTTCCAACCTCTTTTTGTGTGTGTGTTTTATTTTGGGGTGGGTTTTTTTTTCTCCTTTTGGTTTCTGTCTGTCTCTGCGACATAGCAGTGCACTTTCTTGATGACCTTTGTAGGCAGAACCGCCAAGGTTTGGTTTAGTCTGGCTTTCATGATACCACAGGGGAGTAGCTGTGGCACTTGATACAGAGGTTCCTAAGACACTTTGAAGATGCCGGCTATAGAGGGCATGGCTGTTCTAGAGGAAAAACTGGGGAGAAGAGGACAGGGTAAGAAGCAAAATAGGGGCTGAACAAACAATGGAGTGGGAAAGTTTTTAACAGAGGGAAAGAGGCTGATGCTACTTCTAGAGCTGAAGGGTTGGGTTTATAGGGAAATCTGCTGCTACTCTTATTGGAAACAAAAGATAAGCTGTGTCAGTTTGTGGTTTTTCTTGTGTCTTTTTTTCAACACAAGGGGCAATAATTTTGCAATGCTAGCTCACAGTTGCTTTCATTTTGCTTGCCCTGTTCTGGGAAAAGGAGACTGGGGAGGAACCAGGAAATAGTCGACCAATAAATTTGACCTTGGTGGTAGGCAAGATGCTAGAGACATTAAGAAAGGATGAGATCACAAAACAGCTGGAGAAATATGAGCTGATAATGGCTAGTCAGCTTGACTTTTGGAAGGTAAATCTCATCTGATGCAATTATTTGTGGAGAGATCATGGGGGGGAGGAGGGGTGCGGATTGGCAAGGTGTGATGTCACCGTCAGCTGTGGTGACGTCACGCTGCCCCTGTGATGTCATGGCAGAGTGGAGGCGCAGGGAGGCAATCATGGCCGCCACTCGGCTCACACAGGCGCTGGTGGATCACCTCAACGTGGGCGTGGCACAGGCCTATGTGAAGCAGCAGAAGCTGGACCATGAGGTGAAGACATTGCAGGTCCAGGAAGCACAGTTTGCCAAGCAGACGGGGCAATGGATCACCATGGTGGAGAATTTCAACCAGGCCCTCAAGGAGATCGGTGACGTGGAGAACTGGGTGCGCAGCGTGGAGATGGACATGAGGACCATTGCCACCACGCTGGAGTACGTGTACAAGGGACAGCTCCAGCCACCCTGCTCCTGACACCCCCGGGTCCCGCCTCCCACCCCCCCGCAATAAAGGCTGCTTGTGCCGTGGCCCCCTCAATTTATTTTTTTTTCAATTTTCTTTTTTTTTTTGGTGGGATTGAGTGCGCCCTCAGCAAGTTTGCCGATGACACCAAGCTGTGTGGTTCGGTTGATACGCTGGAGGGAAGGAATGCCATCCAGAGGAACCTCGACACGCTTGTGAGGTGGGCTGATGCCAACCTCATGAAGTTTAACCATGCCAAGTGCAAGGTCCTACACCGGGGTCGGAGCAATCCCAGGCACAGCTACAGGTTGGGCAGAGAAGAGATTCAGAGCAGCCCTGTGGAGAAGGACTTGGGGGTGTTGGTGGATGAGAAAAGGAACATGGGCAGGCAGTGTGCGCTCGCAGCCCAGAAAGCCAGCTGTATCCTGGGCTGCATCAAAAGGAGCATGACCAGCAGGTCGAAGGAGGTGATCCTGCCCCTCTCCTCTGCTCTTGTGAGACCTCACCTGGAGTATTGTGTGCAGTTTTGGTGTCCTCAACATAAAAAGGACATGGAACTTTTGGAACAAGTCCAGAGGAGGGCCATGAGGATGATCAGGGGACTGGAGCAGCCTCCTGTATGAAGACAGGCTGAGGAAGTTTGGGCTATTCAGCCTGGAGAAGAGAAGGCTGCGTGGAGACCTGTATCTGAAGGGGGCCTATAGGGCCTATAGGGATGCTGTAGAGGGACTCTTCATTAGGGACTGTAGTGATAGGACAAGGGGTAATGGGTTAAAACTTAAACAGGGGAAGTTTAGATTGGATATAAGAAGGAAATTCTTTCCTGTTAGGGTGGTGAGGCACTAGAATAGGTTGCCCAGGGAGGTTGTGAATGCTCCATCCCTGGCAGTGTTCAAGACCAGGTTGGACGAGGCCTTGGGTGATATGAGTTAGTATAAGGTGTCCCTGCCCACGGCAGGGGGGTTGGAACTAGATGATCTTAAGGTTCTTTCCAAACCTAATTATTTTATGATTCTATGAAACAGGCTGGATCTAGAGCACTTTAAAAAGTCTGCTTTGGATGACAGGGAATTCAGATGCTGAGTATTACCTAGTACACTATAACTATAGTGTACTACATCTTTGAAAGGGATGGCATAGCCTAAAGATTGCTCATCTTCCTTCCACTGAGCAGACTACTTAAGTCTTTGACCGTCTTTGTTCCTTTCCAGTGTCCTTTTAGAAAAGTCTTTATTCCAGAATATTTTTTTTGTGTAGGAAAACCCATTCTTTAAGCCATTTTTTGAAGGGTGAAATCTAAATAGTTGTCTTTTTTTTTTTTCCTGTAAAAATGTCTCCCTAAAAATCATTATTCCAATGATTTCTCCACCTTTTTTTTGCAAAATACATTCAGTTCTTTAGAGAAGTTGAGCTGTGTTAGATGTTTTTCGCTGTGTGTGTAAACTGACTGTTTGGAGTGACACCAAGTACACTCTCGCTTTCAGTGGCAAAGAGGAAGAGCTCGGATATTGTTGCCCGCATTATTTATGTCAGTCCTGGAAGTTTACTTTCATATTCTGTTTTGTTGTACATCAGAAGAGAAACAAACAAGGTCTCAATTTTATCTCTAAAAGTGGGGTAGAGTAAAAAATTACTGTTACTTGTTTGTTAAAAGAGATCTGAGATTGAGAGATCTAGGACGTTGCAAGCCCTGTTAAAGTGAGCCTGGGAATGTGTGATGCAGTGGATCATGCAGAAACTGCCTGCATTGTCTTTTCATCATCTTTTTCATAGTTCCTTCATTTTCAAGAAAGAAAAGGTAGGCCTCTGCAAAAAGTTGTCCACATACGGGTTTTCTGTTCTTTCAGTAGGCAAACTGAGAAGCCATCAGGTTTGGATTTAGGAAGAAAGAAGTACTAAATGAGTATGCTGGTTTGAGGTAAAGAGAGAGCAAGAGAGTAAGGCTAGCTTGTTGCTCTTGCAGGAGTGGTTTATAGCAAGGTGCTGTGCCATGCATTTTAAATTTGACGCCTTGCCCTCCCTTGAAAATGTCTTCCCCTGTAGCCCCTGTGTGGATGCCAGCAGCTTCCTTCCCTTGCCGCATTCCCTGCTGGTGCACCCCCTGCTTAAGCACCATCATCTGCACCCCTTGCATGTGGCTGCTGCTTCCCCTGCCTGAACTTGGTCTGTGTTAGCACTCTTAGCCCTAGACTTTACCGTCTGAAAAAACCGGTGAGGACTTTGATCCTCTGAGAGCAGTACATGGTGACATGTAGTGTATTTCCTTTTATCCACTTTTTATGTTTGTATTACTAATGATTCCCTTAAAAATTACAGTGGTGATTGGTCTCAGTCTTATTCAGGAACAAACCTTACTGTGTATTGGAAAGAGGGATTTGCTTAACATTTGAGCATTTAGTTTGAATGTGTTTTAAAAGACACAGCATTGTAAAAAAACAACTGTTAGCCTTGTGTTTTTCCCTGTTTTACCTATTGAAGTAACTGATTTGCTAAGAAAAAAAGATTGAGTTAAATCTTCTTTAAAAAGCCATCTCTCATGGGGGGAAGACAGAGGGGGGATTATTATTTTCAGACATATTATGTCACAGGTACAATGTGCCTTTTATAGGGGGGAACAAAAACCAGGAAACTGTGAGGAAAGAGGAAGAAAAAGAATGGCGAAAGAATAGCACCATATTAGGTGTGAAGTAGTGTGCTGCTGGTAGAAATATTTACTGCAGCTGAAAGAGGGGAATAATGAAAACCAACATGGAGTGCAGTTAGAACACATGTTATGGAACTCTGGGATTATCCTCTCACCTCTTCAAGTTGAGCCAAAAATGTGAAAAGGATAGCTGGTCAAACAGTATTGTGAAATTTGTCAATTTATTCGAAAGTGCATGGTCATATTTGAGAACAGCAGAGGTAAACAATCATCACAGACGGTGTCAGTTACTGTTTTCCTGAGTCTCCTGGGTGAGTCAGGAGAGTGTGTTTTGAAGTGCAGTCCAAAGCCCAGGCCATTGGTGAACTGAAATCAGTGGTTCTGTGCGTGACTACAGTGGTATTTCAAGCCAATATTGAGACGGAGTGCAGCATCTGAATCATTTACGGGGCTGTCAAATCAGTCTCCTCTGCTTATTGTTTATTATTGTGTGCAGTTCTGGTGTCCTCAACATAAAAGGGACATGGAACTGTTGGAACAAGTCCAGAGAAGGGCCGCGAGGATGATCAGGGGGCTGGAGCACCTCCCGTATGAAGACAGTCTGAGAAAGTTGGGGCTGTTCAGGCTGGAGAAGAGAAAGCTGCATGGATACCTCATAGCAGCCTTCCAGTATCTGAAGGGGGGTTATAAGAATGCTGGGAAGGGACTCTTCATTAGGGACTGTAGTGACAGGACAAGGGGTAACGGGTTAAAACTTAAACAGGGGAACTTTAGATTGGATATAAGGAAGAAGTTCTTTCCTGTTGAGGGTGGTGAGGCACTGGAATGGGTTGCGCAGGGAAGTTGTGAATGCTCCATCCCTGGCAGTGTTCAAGGCCAGGTTGGACAGAGCCTTAGGTGACATGGTTTAGTGTGAGGCATTGTTGCCTATGGCAGGGAGGTTGGAACTGGATGATCTTAAGGTCCTTTCCAACCCTAACTGTTCTATGATTCTGTGATTCTATTAACATACTCTTAATGAAGACCACAGAACATGCATGTCAGAGAAATGGGTTTTCTGATGGTTGTGAGCCACAGCCTTTGTAGGAGTTAACTTGTTCTGGGAGGAAGCTCTAGTCTTAGAACAGTTCAAGTTGGAAGGGATCTTTAAAAATCATCTAGTCAGCCCCCTTGCCCTGAGCAGGGATATCTTTCAGTAGACCAAGTTGCTCAAAGCACCGTCCAACCTAGCCTTGAGCCCTTCCAGGGATGAGGTAGCCACAGCTGCTCTGGGCTACATCTCACAGTGTTTCACCACCCTTATAGTAAAGAATTTTGTTCTTATATATGCACATTGTAAATTCACTCTCTTGCAGTTTAAAACCATTACCCCTTGTTTTGTCACTGTAGGCTCTGTTAAAAGGCCTCTCAGTCTTTCTTATAAGCCCCTGTTATACGTTCAAAGGCTACAATAAAGTCTCTCAGCCTGTCTTCCTAGGACAGGTCTTCAAGATACGTGTTACTGAGCCTGGTACAAGAGTCAAACTCATGACATTGACACTGGTGTTACTTGGGTGGACTTCAGATGCTGATGGAGGTCAGGGCTGCTTAGGGCAATCACTGCTAATTCTCAAATTTTAAGTGCAGCCATTATGATGTTTATGATGGCTTTATAAATAAGTTTTCACCTGTAGAAGTCACAAGATTTTTAAAGTTTTGTCCTTTTTTCTTTGTGAAACAGGAGCTTGCTAGTCCTAATGACATAGAGAAAAACTGGAAAGCATCACCCGTGTGCCTTCTTCGCTGTTTAGGCTAAGGAGAAGGAAAAGTGCCATTTAATTGCTTCTGATGAAAAATCTCAAAAATCAGAGGATTTAAAATAATTCTCTGAAGTCTTAGCCTTAGCAGTATACCGTGCTATGTCTGCAGTTGCATCAAAGGATCTGCTGATCAAGAAGTGTGTCCTGATTACGCTGCAGAAAGCAGTGATAGGAAAGGATAACTTGCATTTTCTGTGAGAAGCTTGATGGGTCTAATGGCTAATAGAAACATACAAACGAAACTATAATTGAACTGCTTCTTTATCCAGCAAACTCGAGTTAAACTAGATCTCAAGATTTAAGAGAAAAAATATTTAATTTTTTTTTGCCGTGTGTTTCCACAGGAGACTTTGTACATGCTGTATTAAGGCTGCTATTGTAATGCTATCTTGTTCAGAATGATGTAATTACACTGGTGTGGGAAATACTTGCACTAAGTAGGGTTTATGCCCTGAAATACAGGGGTACACACTATTTTGTGTATTCTTGCCATTATGCCTAAGTTGGTGGTTCACAGTTGGGAGTATCAGTAACAAGTTACACCTTTGAACACACTTGGTAAGCAGTTCAAAATCCACTGTCAGTCATCTTC